GTTCACTTATATAATAACAGTACATAAAGTTACATAAAAGGACCAGGATGCCCCTGATTAGTGATGGGACACCCAGTCAAATAAGACACTAAATAAAAATAGGCCCATTAACTAAAGACTTAATACCCAACCCAGACAAGAGGATAACAAAATATCAGCCAAACCAACAATAATAAACCATAGCATAAAGGATCTGTATATGTTTCAATGTTTAATTAAATTTGGCACAACAAGAAACTCCTCTGTCCTGCATGTGTCTCCAGGAGAAATCTGTCTTCATACAAAGGCCAGAAGTTCCAAAAAATAGAAAATAGAGATCATAGAGTGGCATAAGTAAAGGATTCCATATAGAAAAGCTACCTCAGTGGAAATCAACTAGTAAACCTCATCGGCTCATCTTCAGTATAGGACAGCCGGATCAAAACCAAGCCCAGGAACACCTTAGACCATTCCAGATTTGCCACAACCAGAAACTTTAGAGCTACCACTCCACTGTACAAAATGCCCCACCAAAAGAAACAAAACTACATACCAAAGTTCCTTTCCCTCCAGCACCTTAGTCTGTCCTCAGCTTGACACCCTGTCACTAAACTTCTTCCATCAACCTCACTGGATTCTAGGAAGCACCCTACAACCATCCCATATCTTCAGATTTTTCTTCAAGTCTGTTCCCTTAGTCCCTTGAGCATGAAAAATCCTCCTAAAAGTGATAATCCACTCATTTTATTCATGTCAACCAAAAATCCACAACCATATCCAAATCTTCTACTTGCACTTGCACTTGCACTTCATGTGGAAGGGCAGTGACCTTATATGGGTGAATAAGAATTTTTGTCTCATTTTATGTGCCATATTGGAATTTTCTGCTTCTATATGAATATCTAAATTCTTGTGCAATGTGATGACATATTTCACACTGTGGTGGTTGGCCTTTGTTGTCTACAATGCACAGTTACGAACTTTCTTGATACGCAATGGCTTATCAATTCTCTTCAAATTAGGTCCAGCTGCTTACAAAGAATACTACTTGAGGTGAGTCCCTATGTTGTTTTGTTTGAGAGCAAAATGATGCAATTAATTGGAGGATAATATCTGGCAGTATTGTATGCATTATTGTTATTTTTTTGATAAGTATTCATTGTATTACTATATAAACTATCAGTAGCCCCATATATACAGCAATGCCCAAAGTCTTGCCAATCAGTATATAGTCCACACTTGTGCCTTGTGGATCCTCAAAGATAACTCCATTCTAATCATTAAAAAAATGTCTGAAATTCATACCCCTAGAATCCTCTATGATATGATCCAAGAATTGGCATTCATTATTTTCTTTGACAGCACCCACCAAGTAATGTTTCTTCTTAAAAAATCCTCTTATTCCTGATCCTTCCTGATACACCAACAAATGGTAAAGGTTTGATGCACCACAAAACACTTCCTTCTTTACTGTGACCACTAGTTGGCCAGACATCAACCAAGGAGCGAAAGCCAGGGATAATGCATTGTCTTTTAAACAGCTTGACAAAGTGCCACCATACATCTAGAGGGGCAATAAATGAGAAAGTGATCAATGAACTCGTTTGATTCACACAAGGAGCACATTCTTCCCTTTGGGTATCATATGATTTATGAACAGGAGTTTCCCAAAGTAAAAATCCACATAAAGAAGAAAACTTTAGGGGGGATTGGGAGCCCATACCCAATGCCATGGAAAAGGGACATCAGGCCCACAAATGGAAGATATAAAAGAAAGATTTAGTAGAGAAATTTCTGTTTGGGTTAGGTTAACATTTGCACAAAAGACTCTACCTCACAGTCATTGGTATTTCTGCATAACCTCACTACCCTTTGTGTGCATTATGTAATTAGCAAGATTTGACATGAATCATGACACTTGAGGGGACTCTCCTGTTTGTCACATCTGTAATATGTGATTAATGGACCTTGGCCCTTATGGTAATATTTGGGGCACCAATGGTAAATCTTTAATACTATATAATTAGATAAACATATAATCAATCTTTATTCTCTTATTCGTTTTTGCACTGATTTATGCATCTACATTTAAATGTATAATCAATCTTTATTCTCTTTGGGCCAGGTCTTGGGTTTAAATATCTGATAAGTCTCAATCCCTTTGTATGTGCCAAGAATTCTGCACAAGTTGAGTCACCATGACCAAAATAATGCAATTATATTCCCTTCACAAACTTGGAACACTCCTCCAATTCTTAATGATCCTGTGTTTTCTAAACTGCATCCATCCAAGTTAATCTTGGAATTAAACCTTAAAAACCTGGTGGTCAAGGGAGGCTCAGATGTAATTGTGAGGTAGCTCACAGAAAGGGGGACAGTTTCTTCGAAGTATAGACACATTATGAAGGAAATTAAGGAGCTGGATAGATAGCTGCATATAGTTTATATATGGGCTCTGAGATCAGCCAACTCATTGGTTGATAGGCAAAACAGGGTGCAACTAGGGATTATTTGTATTGGAGTGTAATTGACCAGGGGAGATGCGTAAAAAGTGTATAGTTAGGGTGATTGGCAGTTGGCACATTACTTTTTATATTATTCTTTGTATTCGTTTACTCATAATTTAATAGTTTTTCATCTTTACCAATCAAAAGATAATAATAAAGACTACCTCCTAATTGGTGCATCAGTTACCTTTTCATGTATTCCAGCCAAGGTGGAATTTTACTCTTGAGCTGCCACCTTGCATGGCTGTGGTTTAATATATTTTTTCTCATTGATGTGACTTAAAGCTTCATGATCTGAAAACAAGATGAAGTCTTTCTATACCAAATAATGCCGTCCAAATTGTAGCAATTATGCCATAGCATAGAGTTTGATATTATAAGTTCAATATCAAAGGCTGCTACCATCTTGGCTGAAAACAGATTTATGCCAATCCTCAATGCATCACAATCTACTTCAAACACTTCCTCAAAAATCAGGTAGAGCTAGGAATGGTGTCTTTGAAATCTTCTTCTTTATTTGATTGATATTGTCCTTGACTTTTTGGGTCCATTGAATTTGACTTAATAGGAGGAACTATGGTGCTGAAGTTGTGGATGAAGTGACAATAGAATACAAGGTTCTAGGCCTGTTCAAGTTTGCCTTGACCTTTGATTTGGGTGCATTTTCATCTTTCATTGGGGTCAAATTTATTGACATTGTCTTTTAAAGAAACTATAGGTATTACTTTGCCCATCATCACTATCATTATACACATCATAATGAGGTATATCATTTGGATCAGTATCTCTTTCATCATCATAGTCTCCTATAACCAAGAACTTCTTTCTCTCAGAACTATGAGCCTCCTACAATCCCATGACTAGACTCATAGCACTTTAAACAACAGAAAAAAGAACTGCTGGTCTGATTTCTATCAGTTGGACCAGATTTAGTCAGTCAAGTTATAGGAATTGCAAGATGGTTTCTTGGAGCAGTAGGACCATGCACTGATTTGTGATCTAAAGTTCTGAACATGATTAAAAAAATTCTCCATTAACCTTTTCTTCATCTTCCCAAGTTGCAATGTTAGGTTTTCTTTTTTTGTTGACACCTGATTAGCAATTGGTACCACCATCCAGAAGTTTGACACCTTTACTTTAAGGAAACAAGCTCTGCCTTCTTATCTTCTGGCACATAATTATGCTCAAACATTTTATCAGTGGTGGCCAACCAACTGGTGAACTCCTCAGCTTGCAAACCATCATGACATTCTAGAATTTATATCTTGAAACCTCAACCCCAATTCAGGCTTCCAATTCAGATGGCTTTCTATGTGGTTCTTAGTCATGAAATGGGTTTCCACATTTATCCTCCAACCCATCATGCCATCATCAGTCAAGTTAGCACTTCAACTTGCCTCCTTTATGTTGCTATTATCCCTTGAGCATAGATTCCTTATTGATCCATGGCTGTTGTACTTGTCCTTTTTATTGTCTTCGTGACATGTAACAATGGAAAGGAAATAAGGTGAAACTTGAGAAGGCTTGGGTTGTATATTTGTTAAAATTTGAAGGGGTTCAGGCTTTATGCTGTGTAAATTCCTCAAATGAGGTACCCATCTTGCACCCCTAAAAAACAGATGGTAAGCCACCATTTGTGGGTCCAGGCCTTGAGGTTACAAGAATGTTACTGAGAATACTAAAATAAGATGAAGACAATAACAATAAAGAAAAGAGAATCAAGGAGTAAGTATGTGGCTGTGAGAACAGCTCGACACCCCCCCAAAACAAATCGAATAGCAAGCTGTTTTCTCCAAATTTCTTGGAACAATAGAAATCTTTTATTCTCTTCAACAACAACTGTTTCCAAGAGGCTTACAAAACACATCTATAGTTTCCCAAAAGAAAATCCTATAAATTTAGATGTCAGTCTTTTCTTCTGAAATAACTTAAACCATAAATTAAGATTCTCCAGAAAAATTGGGCAGACCTACTTTCAAGTGAGCACATGATAGTAACATGACAATTTAAGTTAATTTTAAGATATAAATGAGTAGAAAGCTTGCTGAATTAAAAAATATGAAATAAAAGGAGTTTCTTGAAGAAAGAAGGAAGAGAGAAGGAGAAGAAGAGAAGAAGAGAAGTTGAAAAGAAAGGAGAGCAATAATCTGGCCGCTCCTTTCACTTATTATTTATATTAAAATAATAGAGCAGTACTAAGACAACTATGCCCTTATAGGGCGTCAAGACATAAAACAGCATATATAAGACACAAAAACATAATAAAATTTGGACTCACATAACTACTGTGGTCCCCACCTCCTATCTAATAACTAACATAAAACATCTACTCATAGAAAACATCATAAAACCGATTAATCTTCAACACTCCCCCTCAAGTTGAGAGTAAATGTCACACATTCCCAACTTGCGTAGATCATGTTCAAGCTTGTTCTTTGCCACCCCTTTAATGAGAACATCAGCCAGTTACGACTCTGAAGAAACATAAAACAGACTTTTCCGGTTGTTACCCTTTCTCTTATAAAGTGTCTATCAACTTCAATGTGTTTTGTCCTATAATGCTGAATTGGATTGTGGGCAATATTGATTGCAGCCTGATTGTCACACTATAGCATCATAGGTTCCTCTGCTTTCACCCCAATCTCACTCAAAAGAGATCTAACCCAAAGAAGTTCTGAGACACCATGAGCCATGGATCTATACTCAGCGTCTGCACTTGACCTTGCCACAACTGCTTGCTTCTTACTCTTCCAGGAGATCAAGTTTCCACCTACAAAGGTACACACTCCTAATGTAGACCTCCTGTCATCTAAGCATCCTGCCCAGTCTGCATCTGTATAGGACTCTAGCTTCAGATTCTCATGATTTGAGAAAAGAATGCCTCTGTCAGGGTGCTTTTTCAGATATGCAAGTATCCTCTCAATAGTTTCCCAGTGTTGAACCCAAGGTGCATGCATGTACTGTCTCACAACACTGATAGCATAAGAAATATCCAGTTGTATCATACACAAATACAACAATCGGCCCACCATTGTTTGATATCTCCCCACATCCTTTACCAACTCACCATCCACACCATTAACTCTGTGATTTGGATCAATAGGAGTGTCTGCTGGTTTGGTCCCCAACCTCTCAGTCTCCCGCAATAGGTCAAGTACATACTTCCTCTGTGAAATGAACCATGCTTGGATCTTGCAACTTCAATCCCCAAGAGGTATTTGAGCTCACCAAGATCTTTGATCTCAAATTCTTGCTGCAATGATTTTTTGA